GCCGGGCGGCACCCGGACCTCCGTCCCCCTCCTGTGGCTGACGCACTCGGCGTCAGTCACAGCAGGGAGCAGCGAGAGCCTGGGGCTGCACCTGGAGGTGCTGCTGTGGCCCTGTAACGGGGATTTGGCTCTAACAGCCGCAGCTCTGAAGGTGGCAGCAACCTCTCTAATGCTTCTTGGTATGCACACACTGCTGCTTTCCCACCCCCAAACACTGCACACATGTACGATTGTGGCTCAGGCATCCTATGCCCACATTCCTATACACTGGGTACATACATCCACAGAGGCCCAAAATCCGCTCGTTTGAAGGGATGTAAGCACCAGGACAGGTCCCTTCATCCTCCAGCAGCTCAGGCAAGGTGTTGGGCCAGCCATACCCTTGTCCTTCCCCTGCCTCAGCAAAGCTCTCTCCCCAGCGCTGGTCCCTCATGGTTTGCTCTGGTCCCACCTGGCCCCACAGCCATGTCCTAGCACAGCCCGCAGGTCAGGAGGCTGCACTTACCTGGAGAGCAGGGAGGCGGCTTTGTTGGTTGGGAATGACTTTTATTGAGACCATCCCCTTGGTTTCTTTCTAGTGAACAAAGGAAGGGGAGAAAGAAGAGTTGGAGGAGGTGACGCCTGGAGGCAGCCCGACAACAGCAACCTGTGCAGGGAGCTGCTGAGTGCCAGGATCTGCAAAGGCAAGGCTCCTGGGTGCTTCCAGCCATGCTGTGATGCTGGGGGATACCACAGCTTGGCTGGGAACAGCTCTGCTCGGGCTAGGCTAAGAGCCATAGCAGCATAGCTTTGCTATGCTTGTCCAACAGCTCCACAAAGGGCTGGCTGTGGGCGCTGCTAAGCATCACCAGAACAAACACAGAGATCTGTATCATCTCCAGCCTGGCTGCCCCAGTGAGGATCCTGGGAGGAGAGGCTGGTTCTGCCAGGTCCCCTCCATGCTGGCCTCTTGCTCCTGCCCTCCTGGTGATATTAGAGGCACAGCACTCCCATGCCTGCCACAGGCAAGATGCACTGTTGCCCCTTTGTGCTTCACAAGGCCTACATGGTACCATGGGGACAACTACCTTTGGAGGCTTGGAGGGTTCTCCTGGGCCAACCGCCCTTCTCGGGAGGCAGACAAAGCCAAGTTTCTCCTTGGTGCCACTGTCTGGAGCGAGGACATCCCACCACCAGGCAGGAGAGGACCCTGGCACTGCAGCAGGGCCAGGCCTCCTGCTGCTGATGGGTGTCCTTAGCACCACTACCACCACCTCCCTCCAGCCAAGTCCCACATGTTGGGCATGGATCAGGATGGCCTCAGTAGGTGAACCCAAGGCAGGCCTGAGACCCTGTCCAAAGCTGTCTCTAGCAAGGGCCTGGCAGGATCACCATGACCTCAGCAGCAGGAAAATGGCACCAAGGTGACCTGCAGGAGTGGCTCAGGTCTGCAAGAGCAGCCAGCCCCTGGGCTGGAGTTGCACACCAGCCATGGCAAGCAGAGGCGGTTTCCAAGCCCCACACGCATCAGTACATGTCAGGGACCCAGCCAACAGCCTTTGCTGTTGCTCTGGGGAGGCCAGAAACAAGCAGCAAGCCCAGACCACCAAGGCAGCATAAGGAGACCTGGCGCTTGGCTGTATTACAGTGGCCCTGGCTCCTGCCACATCAGCCTGCTGCAAGGCAGCTGTGTGTCTGCTCTGCTATCTAGGAGGGGGTGAATGCTCAGCCAGCATGCACGTCTGCAGGCCAAAGGGGTCCTTCCTGGAGAACAGCCTTGCCAAACACAAATACCTACCAGCATCTTCTGCAGCTGGTCAACTGAGTGGTTGCTCACACTCTGCCCATTGATTTCTATGATTTCATCACCCACATGAAGGGAGCCTGCCAGCAATGGGAGAAACATGAAAATGCAGAACCAGACAAGAGCCGTTTACCAAACGCAAACTACATAGTTCCACCAGCCTCCCAACCCCCTGGGTAAGCTGTGGCGAGGACACTGCGGTGGTTGCCTGGGCAGTGCCTGTGGAGCCAAACGTCACCTAAGCACACGGGACTAAAGCACAAGGGGAATTAATTCTTCCCCCTCCTCTCAATACACATACTTCATTCAGTCTGAAGGTCATCAGGTTGCTTTCCACTGTGTGTCCTTCAGCGCTTTAAACTGGTCAAAGCACCTGTTTCAGAGTTATTCAAACGCAATCCCAAGTACCACGCCTGAAGCCAAATGACAGCTTCCTTACAGGGCCCTTAACAGAAGCATTCTTGACTTTATGTGTTTTCAGTTTATATACACAGCCAGATTACAGCCTCAGATACACTGCTATAAATAAGGCTCCAGTAGCATTACTGGAATGGCTCCTGGGTTATTTTGGCAGGGGTAAGCTCAGATTTCCTGCTTGGATGCAAGGCTGGAAAAAGGGGCCGTCTCTTCTAAGCGGAGAACATCTCATTTCCATGCCCCCTTGGCAGGACCCAAACCCAGGAAATAGCACCTATTCACTTCTTTCTGCACTTTCTTTTGCTCTGTAGAGCCAATCCACAGCAAACCTCTCCCACCTGTGCACTTCAAGAATGGGAAGAGCTTCCCCTGCAGCCTCTGGTGTATGATCCATCTCTTATTACAGTGACCCCATCACAAGACGGAGACAAACTGTCTCCATTTCCGTTTTGGAAGAGCTGTTCCCCCAACCCTTCATTTCTCCCTAAAGCCTCCAGTGTATTAGCATGACAAACATGCAGAAACATCAGCAAGTCCTGAGTTCCTGACACATTCCTAGTGAAGAAACAGACACAGATGTCCATGCCACAGGGGAAAGCCAGCAGTGCTCAGCGGCTGCCTTATCTCAGCACGGAAAGAAACCAGCTGCAGACATGTAACCCCATACACTGCATCTACGAGGTCCTCGTTACCTTGTCTGTGAATCATGCCACCATGGAAGATCCTGGCCACCATGCAGCTCTGCTTGTCGTTGAGCTTCAGCGTGATTCCCTGGAAGACAGGAAAATCCATGACTGCTCACTGGAAGGGAGAGCTCCAGCGCTCTCAGCAAAGTCCTCTCTAGGCCCGTGTCCACGGTGGGCTGTGTAGTGGCTGGGGGGGAAGCCCCCTGCTTGGCCAGCTCAGCCTGCTGCAGCTCCTCTTGGCACATGCGTCATCACCCTTTGATGGGGCTCATTCCGGGTCCCCAGGCAGGATCCGGCACCCTCTTCCTGTGGCCAAGGTCTCCAGCGATCTCCTGCTTCCCCTGAGCCCAGTCCATTGGCACAGCTCTACCTGCCCCTCCACCCCCCGGGTGCCATCAGGATTTGAGATCTTGACAGTTCTCACCATGGGCTCCTCCGTGACCTTCTCGAACTGGACAAGGCGTATCTTCCGCATCTCGCGGCCATTGCTGTGGGAGGGGCTGCCCAGAGTCGCTGAGCCATTGGTATAAATGTCCTCAGTCATGGCGTTCAGGGACTGAGTGATGGCCTGTTGGGGCAAAACAAAGACTGGGGTTTAGGGGCTCCACCTGAATGGGGTATGGGCATGCCGGCTTCCCGCTGTGGGGCTGAGCTACTCCACTGTGTTAGGGTGCCTGGGGTGCAGGTGGGGCACAGGGGGAGGAAAGACCCGTGTGCTGGAGGAGAGGACAGTAATAGCAAGAAAAGAAAAAGAGCAAAAGAGCTTCACCCTTGAAGATATGGATGCGGGCTTGATCTGTAGTTTCCCCGCGTGGCAAACACAGAAGGTAAGAAAACTTTGGAAAAGCTACAGGTAGCAGAAGCCAAATGAGTCAATAGCTGATCATCTTCTACAGTAACGAGTCCCAAACACTACTTGTGTGTCGCAGCATCACTTGGCCCGCAGCTGGCTTGTTGCAGAGCATAAGGCCCAGGACAGCTTCACCGAGTGAATGGAGCAGTTTGGGACTCACCCCTGAGAACTGGGGCCAGGCTCTGCTCTTGCTCAGTTTGCAAGTGCAACCTTTCCTCATCTACGTCAATGGGCAAGTGACACGGTGCAGAGCCATGTCCACATCCAGGCACTGATGGCAACAAGCTCCCAAGCCAGCCAGAAACTCCCTGTTCCCCTCTCCAGCTCCCAGCTACAGGCCAGTTCATGCTGGCTGGCACTGGGAAACCACGCAGGAGCACTCAGCTGCGGGGAAACCTCTGTTCTTCTTCTCCAGCAGGCGCTGGCACCAGGGCAGGTGGAGGGTGCATGGGCTCCCGAGCAGAGACCTCCAAACCCGCCTTGCCATGCAGCAGGGACGCTGCAAAGTCAGCTGCCACCTCCCAGTCTCAGAAAGCCTGGTGCTGTCCTGTTAAACCCCTCCGGCACACTGGGCAACTTCTCTGTGTAGTTCACAGACGCGCTGGCTTGGCCCCAAGTGCAGTGGACTTCCCTTGAGCCTCTCCCAAATCAGTGCTGGCCCAGCAAAACCCAGGCCAGCTTTGATCTGCAGCCCCTGCCTGCCTTGTAGGCACGCTCAAATCCCCACGCCACCCCACAAGGCAAAGCAAACCCTCCTGGCTGCCCCACCCCACATCAGGCTGCCGGCTTTGCTGCCCATTTTGTAGCTTGCACCCTCCCGCCCAGCAGTGCCCGGGTTGGAAGCCACAGCCAGCAAACCTGCAGGGACACCCAGCAAGGTTCTCGCCATCTTTAGCCCCGCATCAGCAACGTGTCCAACTAGGCAGAGCCAACACCTCTCCCTGCTGCATGCCAACTTGCCAACACCCGACCAAGTGCCGGGCCCCGGGACTCCGTGCCAGCAGCTGGGGAAGCAGCAGCCTGGCCCTGCTACCCTGGCTTGCTCTCACCCACCACAGGCACCCGGCCTGGAGCAAAGAAGAGGCTGAAGACCCTTGCTGCCGAGGGGCGAGGTCATCCAGGCCATCGGGAGGTTTGTGTGGGTGCAACTGGCATGAAGAGCATTTGCTGGTGGGGTGCAGCCACAGCACTAAACCACAACAAAACTAGCTTTGGTAGGGATGTGCTGGAGTGCTGCTGGGCTAAGACAGCAGCCCAGCCCTGTGCAATGACCGAAAGCAGGGAGGGAGCCGAAGGCAGGGGCAGCAGAGAGGCACTGGCAGAGGGGCACGGACCAGCATCGAGGCACAGGCACTGTCACAGCCTTGACAAAAGGGTGCTGGTGGGGCCAGGCTGGGGCAGGAAGGGTGCAGGGAGCCACACAGCCCCACGTTGCAGTGACAGGGAAGATGGTGTCATTAAGCCAATTGCTTCTAAAAGAGTCAGCCAACCTACTCCTCAGAGGAAAAACACAACCACGTGGGCTCTGGCTGCCAATGGCTTAAACATTGAGGTGGTTTGAGTCAGCACAGACCATGCTTATTTGGTCACACCTTGGGAATTTGTTATATGGTGCAATCCCCAGCTTCAAACCTCTAGGCTCAGCAGAGCTCGATGACCCAGGACACAGCACAGTCTGGTCCAGGGGCTGGGAGTTCCCGTCCCTGCCATCATCTCTGCCAGCTGAGTCTCCCAGCCCTGACCTTTGATTTTTGCTGAGAGCTAGAGAAAACACCCAGCCTTTGACGCTGACGCAGCACCAATGTCACCCTGGTGACTCCCCGAGAGCGAGCCTTGTCACCAGAGACCCACTGCTGTGCCTGGGGACAGCCACCAGTCAATTGATGGCAGCTCTGAACCCAGCAGGGCCCTCCGGCAACTCCTTCTGCCCCAAACAGAGCCACGCTGGGATGGCTTGGGCTTTTGCTGACCGCACTGGGCAGCCGGTGGATAGGGATGGGAAAACGCCTGGCTCACGAGGAGGACCAGGACCCATGCGGTGGCAGATTCTAGCCCCAGTGTTAGGCATCCTGAAGCTGGAGCTCTCACACTCCTTGCACATGAGCCAGCCGGCCTGATCACCTACCTTGCACTCTCCTGGCAGCCGCCACGGTCTTGGCCAGCGCGGCCCGGCATAGTCTGTGACCTCAAGAGCCTTTCAAGTCATGCTGGCAGCAGGCCAGATCCTGCTACTTGTGAGCTGCTCTGCGAGTGCTGCTAAGAGCCGGCTCCGAGGCCGCCAGCCATTGCCGGTTCTGCACGGCCCCAGGCTCAGTCACCACTGGGGCCAGCCTTGGGGCAGACATGGGGCGAGGCGGCTTGGGGGGGGCTGAGCTGTGCAACACGGCTGCTGGGTGCTGGCCAGGGCTGAGCAGCCCCACGGGGGTTGGTCTGCACAGCCCAGCACGCAGCAGCCCTGGGGGTGCCTTGCAGCTGGCTGGTGAGAGTAAAAACCCTCACGCAAAAATCCTCCTCGAAGTGGCAATGCACAGAGGAGCCACCAGCTCCATGGGTCAAAAAGGTGCATCCCAAGTCCCTGCCTGCATTTTTATCAAGACCCTGTATTTCTGCCCCATATTCTGTGGCGGAGGGAAGGGCACCAGCTCCCCAGGCAGTGTTTTGCCAACAGGGAATTGGGTGAGTGTGGAGCAAGCGTCAGCAAGGACCCGAGGGCTTGGCGTCCTGTCCCCTGGCTGGGTCAGCGTTGTCTGCTAGGGTGGCTCCTGCTGCTGCGCTGGCACAGCTGTGCTGCACGCCGCCAGGCAAATCAAGCATTAACTGGGCAGCTTGTTTGCAGGAGGTTGAAGCAGCACTCGGGGAAAGCATCACCGTAGTGTAATGGGCATGTTCAGTGTTTTGATTCCTGGGCTCTCCTTGCTGCTGTAACCAAGAGACTTCAGTATCTGCGCTTCAGGAAGCGCAGGTCTCCCTGGCAAGCACGTGGAGAATGGTCAGACGCTGCTGGCTTTACCAAGTGGGCCCCCAAAGTACAGCAGCTGGGATGCAGGAGGGAATCCTGGAGCTGGGATCCCCTGGGACTACCCTCTCGGCTGGTAGGCAGACACCTCCACTGCCCACAGTGAGCAACAAAATCCCAGCTCCCTCCAGGAATCATCACCCCTCACATTATAATCACCGAGGGTGTGTGCAGGGAGGCTGGGGCACTGTTTGGTGCAGAGATGTCCTGGCCCAGCAACCTCGCCTCCCCACTGTCGAGCGGATGTGTGCATCACAGTCTCAGTACAGCTTAAAAAACACAGCAATGTGTAAAAAGAGAAAACTAGCAAAAAAAAAAAAAAAAGAGCCTGGGAGTTGCTTTCGGGGTGCTCCAGCAGGCTGGGGAGCAACAGCACGTGGACATTTAGAAATAATTCATCCCTGCCTTCTTCTGGGGGCTACTGCCTTCTCAGGTCTGCCAGCACAACTGCAGGAGCAATTTCACCCAAGACCCTTTCCAGCAATATGATCCAGGTTTGGGGTTTTTTTTTAAAAAAAAGCATTTAAACCAAACAGGATTACATTGCTGACACTAGGAAAAGGCTCAGCAATACCAATAGATCACAGTGGGAAGGGGAACAGAGAAATAGGAGGGATACAAGCGGTCGTGGAGGCCCAAAGATGCTGCCGGCTCTGCATGCCCTTGCACTGACTCCAGATCACGGAGTGCTGCAACGGAGAAGAGCCAGATTTTCATGGCAGCACAGACAGTTTTGTTGAGCCACCATCTCCCCACCAGGAAAGGCTTCCAGATGTGTTTGTGAAACTGGTCACCTCCAAGGAAGAGTCAGTAAAACCACAACACTGACAGAAGAAATCTTGAGGAGCTGCCCAGCCACTCCATCCCCACCTTCCAGAACAAGCCCTGCAAAACAGCTTTTCCCCTGCAGCTGTTGCGGACTGGAACATGGCAAAATCCATTTGAGATTAAAAGGTTGGAACCAGCCCTGCCCACTTCATTTTGGTCAAGCCCAGAAGTTTTGCTCAGTTTTTAACCACTAGTTTTGCCCGTGGTCATTTCAGGATTTGGTCCCTGGGGACTGTGGGCTCAGTCTGCTCTGCAGCTGGCACCAGCTGGATACCGGGAATCGCTGCCCACAAGGAAGTGCAGTGTCCCCTCTGCACCCTCAGGCGCAGCCCTCTCCAGAAGCTCCCTTCTTTTCTCCATCAGACTCCCAAAGGTCACATTCACTGCCCGTTTTACAGCTGGGGAACTGATACAGCTGATAAGGGGACATGCCCAAGGTCACCCTGCCAACCAGGTGCGCAGCTCGGAATAAAGCCCACACCTCTTTGGTAAATCTCTATTTGCCAGTTGGGAGATAAAGAAAAGATATGCAGGCATGTGGTGGGGCTAAAGGGAAGAGGGCAAGCGGCTTCCTCCACTTCAGCTTATGTCTGCCTTCTAGCAATGACATAGCTTCCACTCGCCAAGGGTTTGCATGCCCTGCCACCACGGGAGGAACGCAGGATGGCACTTCCCACCACGTGGCTCTGCCAGAGGAAATGGGGAAGAGAAACCTCCCGACCACCCTGTTCGACTCTAACCAAGGAGCAGCCGGCCGGACCCAGCACCCCTTCCGAGAGCTGCTGCCGGGCAATGTCCTTACTGTCCCACAGAGGGGCCCACAGCCAGCGTGGACCAGCACCATCTCTGCATGCATGCAACACGGGGATGAGT